CCAGGGAACTTCCATGTGGCCAGCTGGGCTTGGAGCCAGACAAACAACCACATCGGGTGGATGTGGTGAAGTTGGCAAAGCCAAGCAGATTGTGGTCTCTCCCGACCGGTTGCTCGTCAGGTCTGGTCGCGCAAGAATGGAAAAACACTTTCTTGGCCTCAGATTTGAGAATTTTAACCCCACTCTAACTCTGAGCCGCGTTGTGTGGACAAAAGCGCTTCCCAGCCTCTGGCGGGAATGCCAGTTTCCAAAGGGTGTCTGTCTCTTTGTGTGTGTGTGTGTGTGTGTGTGTGTGTGTGTGTGTGTCATTCAAACGATACATCCTCACTTCCTGAAATCTCCCCTTTGGGTAGGACGCCACTGTTGTGGCAAAGCTGGCCATCTGTTTCCTTTGGTGGGATGACTTCATTGTGGAAGACTGGCTCGATGGCTCTTTTCGCCAACCTCTCTCTCCAGAGACCAAGAAGTCATTAGGTCCAGGGAAAAGCACGTGCAGGGCCTAAGGGGAACCATTCTTTTCTCTGGTTGAATAGGGACGGCCGGTTTCCTTAGCCCTACTGGTTAGTTAGTGTAATTGAACAGAATATCAGAGATGGAAGGGACCTTGGAGGTCTTCTAGTCCAACCCCCTGCTCAAGCAGGAGGCCCTATACCATTTCAGACAAATGGCTGTCCAACCTCTTCTTGAAAACCTCCATTGGGGTGGACAAAATAACAGAGTCGGGAGGGACCTTGAAGGTCCAACGGCCTACTCAAAACAGGAAACCCTATACCAGTTCAGACAAATAGCCATCCAAATTCTTCTTCAACAGTTCTGGTGTTGGAGTATCCACAAGTTCTGGTGGCAAGCCGTTCCACTGGTTAATTGTTCTCACTGTTAGAAAGCTTCTCCTTCGTTCCAGGTTGCTTCTCTCCTTGATGCGTTTCCATCCGTTGCTTCTTGGCCTGCCTTCAGGTGCTTTGGAGCAGTGGTCCCCAACCTTTTTTTGTACCAGGGACCAGTTTCACGATTATTCATTCTTTGCGGACCGGTACAAAATGATCCGCGGACCGGTACCAGCATCAGCACGCACGACCAAGGCAAGGCGAGCCGAGTGACTGGCCAGCCAGCCGTTCCCCGCTTCTCCCCGCCACCTTCAACTCCTCTTTTGTACCTTCTCGCGGTCGATGGGCTTTTCGAGCTCTTTCTTAATCTCCTCCTGAGTAACGCGAGACCCCACCGCCATCGGGACGGCTCTTTGTTTGAAGCCACCCCCCTTTGACGAAACTAAGGCGTGAGGATTCCTTCAGCACCCAAACGCCGCTTTACAACCAACGACCGACAAGCTCACCCGGAAGCACTTTCTCAAGCGCCGTCGAAACAAGATGGCGGTGCCCAAGCAAAATAGGCCCTACTTTCATTCTTTGCGGCCCGGTACAAAATGATCCATGGACCAGTACCGGTCCGGGGCCCGGTGGTTGGGGACCCCTGCTTTGGAGAATAGCTTGACTCCCTTTTCTTTGTGTGGCAGCCCCTGAGATATTGGAAGACTCCTCTCAAGTCACCCTTGGTCCTTCTTTTCATTAAACTAGACAGTCCCAATTCCTGCAACGGTCTAGCCTTCAGTCTCTTAACCATTTACACTTTTGAGAAGGAGCTTCCAATGATGGATTCAATGGGAGCACCTAGACCAACATAACCTTCTCCAGATTTTGGGGGGGGGTTATACCTTCCAACATTTTCAGCCCTCATTGCTGGCCAATGATCCCAAAGACCATCATTCCAACTCACTTCCATTGAAAAAGGTTGGTGCACAAATTCCCCTTTTTTAAAAACTGAAATCATCCCACCTGATTTTCTTTTTGAAGCCAAGGAAACTGACAGCGGATTGACTGAGCTTTGTAAATTTCACTTCTGCAAAGAAAGGGCCTGACTAATAGTCCTGAGACCAGGCTGTTCCTTTTCAATGTCTCTTTCGAATGTTTTGAGGGCTGCATAAGACAGCTGGACTTGCCAAGGCTAGCCCAAAGATAGATTGTTTGCACAATCACACAGGAAAGGGACGAAAGCAATCGAGGGACGAAAGCAAGCATTTCAAAATCCAGTTGATACAAAATTGTATTATGTGTTTAATTGGGGCGTTAGACTTTTAAGATGATTGTCCAAGCGCAATTCCAGAGGGGGAAGAATATTATGTCATTCTAAGCTTGCCTTTTAGGAGAATTTGGCATTGTGTGTTATCTTGCACACTTGAATTTTTCTGCCATGTAATGCAGCTGGCACACTTTGCTGGCAGGAAAACAAAAATCGCCTTGACAATTACAGGGTTCTGTTGGTAGGGAAACAGAAAGCAGAAGAGTCCTGGTAGAAGGAGGCTAAAAATATAAACCCAGAAGACCTTATAAATAGTTCCTGTTGATGTCAAATAAATATGCTTGTCACAATCATAATTAGAGAGCCAAGAATGGGTGGGGAAAAGACAGCAGAAGAAAGAAGCTGATATAACGTCCTGGATTTTGCAGAACATGTGATGGATCTGTTTGGGGAGAAGTGAATTTCAGTTAGAAGATTAAAACACACCTTAGTGCTGTGCCAGATAGTAATTTCTCTTTACAAAGCTTTAATTTGTCTATCTTATTCTTCAGAGGTTGGTGAGAATTTATTTGGAATTGGTTGTGAGAATGTTCTTGAGCTGACTTGGTGTTGAAGATAGCACTGAAATTGTTGGTTTTGTGGCTGCTTCTTCTGGCCTTCCATCTCTCTCTGATCACACAGATGGATGCATCCTCAAGGAAGGAGTTTCTTCCCAAATGTAGAAGAAGGATTGTAGTTGGAGTCAAAACTAGAATCAGCCTAGAATCTCTATGTAGCCACAAACAGACTAAGTCCAACCCCTCTTGAATTCAGTTGACTCTTAATTAATGTCATGATAGTGCTAAGTATTAGCTGAGTAGACTTTTGTGCAGAGGCATGATTCGTAATAAATCAATTTAATTGGAATTTCATGTACTCCTGATCTGACATTATGTATCTGACATTAATCTACTCAACTAAAGGTTGGCAGTATTTTAGCTTTGGATTAAGGGTCAACAAAATTCAAAACAGATTGGACTTAGTGTGTTTGTGACTACTTAGAGACTCTAGGCTGATTCCTCTTTTGACTCTACCACAGGGTCTGCCAGTCCTTCCCCTAAAGTAACTTCCCCTAAAGTAACTAAAGTAATGGAAGCCAAGAGAGTTGGAGACAAGAAGGAGGCTTACATAGATGGTGATGATATGCATCATTTGGCCAAACTGGGAAGTCAAGGCAGAACATCTCATGCCATATCTAAGAATTTTATTGAAGGTATCTTACCCCCAAAATCCTGCTATAAATCAAGGAGGGCTTCTGGTTCCTATGTGGATGTTTTGTGGAAGGATTGTGTCAGCTTTAGAAGTTTGGAGTTGAGGTTTTCTGGAACGCTGATAGATTGTTGAAGTGGTTTGCCATTCTCTTTCAAAAGGGTCTTTCTTTTCTAGCCTACAGCCCTAGACTATCCTGGTAGCAACCCATCAATGTGCTTGGATTGTTCACAAGTTGTCTACCTAACATGGAGAATAAACCTGGTGTTTTGCAACGTCTTACCCTGTTTGGTTTTCCTTCAGGAAGAGGACCACTGCTTTCTCTTGACCATGTGCTCCAACGCTTGTGGGCGTCCTGGCTCTCAGGACTCTTCGTTTGCATGGAAGTTCTGTGTCCAGCTGCTTCTTCTGGGTTTTCTCCTGCCCACTTGGCTAGGTAAGTAAGAAGAGCATCATGGATTCGCCTTCTTAACTTCTGCCTTCCCAGTTCCAAGTTTGATTTGGTTAAGGATGACATAGAGGGGACTCAGCGGTTCAGTGGCTAAGATGCTGAGCTTGTCGATCAGAAAGGTCGGCGGTTTGAATCTCTAGCACCACGTAACGGAGTGAGCTCCCGTTCCTTATCCCAGCTTCTGCCAACCTAGCAGTTCAAAAGCATGTTAAAAATGCAAGTAGAAAAATAGGGGCCACTTTGGCGGGAAGGTAACAGCGTTCCATGCACCTTCGGCAGTTTAGTCATGCCAGCCACATGACCACTGTCTTCAGACAGTGAAGACGTCCTTTAATGCCTCCAACTTGGCCCCACTGTTCAATAATTTTCAGTTGAAGATAAAACTTACTTCAAAAATAGTCTTCAAAAGAAAGCAATACAGTCCGAATTTAATGAGCAGATAGAGGTGAAATAAAAAAAAACCAAACAAACTACAATGATGAAATTTCCACAACGGAACAGGAGAAGTATTTACCAAAGTCAAGGAGATAACAAGGCACAGTCTGTTGTAAGGACGCCAACTAAGATAACTTCGGACCAAAATAAAACACACTTTGTTTCCAGCATTTGCCAGTACTCAGGTCCAAACTCTTATTCAGTTCTCACACCTGCAGCCCATGAAGAGGATCAAGGACCTCTCCTCCCGAGTAGACCACATCTCTCCCTTATCTTCTCCTCCCTGTGTGCCCTAGGATGGATAGGGGATGGACCTGGGTCCTCCTCTGACTGCTCAGCTGGCCTCTGCCCTTCCCCAGCCTCCTCCACAACCTCCGGAGCCACACTTCCACTCCCTATCTCCTGTTCCTCCTCTCCCTCAGAGTCAGTCTCCACCAAGGGCATGACAGTAGTGTTCTGATGCACTGATTATGTTACCTAGTTGGGTCATGAAACATCTGCAAGAAAACCACCAAGCTCAGAGAGCACCAAGGACCCCCTCATTTCAACCCTGAGCTGCAAATATTCTTCTTTATTGCTATTATCTAACAAATCCAGAAATATAAGGAGATATATGTCACCCTTAATTTTAACCTCGTTAAAATGCAGCGATCTGTGGGAATGATCTGAAAAGAGAAGAAGGAGAGACCTTACAAGCTGTGTGTTAAAGGTCTCTCTACTCACAGAAGGTGGGAGGACGTGGGAAATGTTTCAGAAAGGACCCCAACCCAGTTTTCTAAAGAGTAGTAGGACTTGAATAAGCAACTGCCGTGGCAACTGTAGCAAAAAATTGGGGGCAACTCACTTAATGACTTCCTTGCTTAGCAACGGAAATTCTGGCCCCAATTGTGGTTGTAAGTCGAGGACTACCTAGAGTAGTGAACTCATTTCTTCTCCCTTCCCAGCGTCAAAAGCTTTTCTAATCTTCTTGGAGGCTTCGCCTATCCCAGGGGAAGTCCCATATCAAACATCTGACTGGTTCTTTGTTCTCAGCCAGAGCACATCTGTGCATGAATGAAAGATTGCCGTGTCTTTTAGTTCTCTGGAGTGTTGACACTTGGAGTTAACGGGTCTCCCTCCCTCAAAATGCAATCAGAGCTACTAAGAGGCATAAAGCCGATGTGATGAAGCTAGACTGACATCTAGAGGTGAACATACGAGCTTCTGGATTGTTGTGTGATATGATTTTTTTTTTTAGATCATCCTTTTCTATTTGGCTGCTGGATGTTGTTCAGATACGGGCATATTTCCTTCAGATTTCAGGCTATCCCACACTGGGGATTTGGGTGTCCAAAGTTGGGTGTGAACAGAACCAGGGTCTTTCCGGAAGAGGTTCTGCACTTCAGGGCTGGATTCCAAAAAAAGCAGAAAGTCAAGTGTGAATTAAAACACGCTTTGTTGAGCAAGACACAATGGGTTGGGTTTTTCTAGAACACTGAATGGTCAACAAGGGTTCACAAACCACAATGCCTGGCTTGGCCTGAGCTGTAAATGACACGAAACAGGGCAGTTGGTGGGATTCAATTTTTTTTTACTACCAGTTCTGTGGGTGTGGCTTGGTGGGCATGGCATGACTTGGTGGGCATGGCAGGGGATGGACACTGTAAAATCTCCATTCCCTCCCCACCCCACTAACCTGCTTTCCAGCTCTGGTCTCCTGTGCAGGGCAACCAAAGAAGACCCAGCTGATCATCTGGGACTCAATGGGAGGCAGAGAATAAATGGGGTTGGCAGGGCCAGTCAGAGGCGGTAGTGGCCGGGTTTTCTGAATTACTCAAACTTTTCACTACCAGTTCTCCAGAACCGATCAGAACCAGCTGAATACCACCTCTGAAATAGGGGCATTTGGAGTAAGCCAGCCAACCTGAGCTGAGCAAGAGTGCCAATGGTGGATTCTTAGTTTGTGGTGCACCGTGGGTGATGGGACATCCCTGGCTTGCATCAATGGAGACGGCAATTGGCAAAGGGAAGGTTGGCGTACAAGGCTTCGTCCCCAAAGCTTTTGCAAGAGGTTGAGCAGGGAAGTCTTAAGTGTTGTGTTGTGTCGTCCTCTTCCCCATCAGGAGCTGTGGAGATCAAGGTCTCCGAAGAGCCCGTGGTGGCCCTCGTTGGCCATGACGCCGTTCTCCATTGTTCCTTCTCACCGGAGGCCAATTTCAGTCTGAACGAGCTCAGCCTCTTCTGGCAGGTGACCGACACCAACCAGCGGGTGCACGGCTTCACGAAAGGCCAGGACCAGCCGGCCTACCAGGACAGCCCTTACGCCAACCGCACTGCCCTCTTCTATGACCAGCTGGCCCATGGCAACATGTCGCTGCTGCTACGCCGAGTGCAGATTTCCGACGAAGGGAGCTTCACCTGCTTTGTCAAAGCGCGGGACTTCAGCAGGGCGGCTGTCACTCTTCAAATGGCAGGTGAGCTTCAAGGAAGGAGGCGGGGAAGATGGGTTTCTGAGCCACAGGGAGATGTTCTGACCCAGCTTCCCAAACACGACAAACCCCCTGACGTGAACGCAAAAGATTCCTTTATTAGGAGGCCCGGCAGGCCCGGCAAAAAAGTTCTTCTCTCACCGCAGGCTAACAAGTCTGTCCGGCAAGCAGATGAATAGTTGTCTGCCACATCTATTCATCTCCACCCCCTGCCTTGTTTCCCCAAAGCTAGGGTGGGACTTTGCTAGCAGCAGTGGCTCTTCCGTCCAAGGACCAGCCCATAGATTTCCACCGCTCTCCTCTCCTCTGCCTTCTGCGCATCCGCAAGTCAGGCACTGGACCCAGCTGTTCCTCCTCTTCCTCATCAGCCACCTCCAGACCTGGCTCTTCCATCCCAAGGACCCGCCCATAGATTTCCACTGCTCTCCTCTCCTCTGCCTTCTGCACATTC